AAAATATTAGTTCTAAGTTCGTCTTTTATACCAAAATAATTTTCTTTTTTTACTAGACACGTATTCATATAAAACAGTACCTATTTTTAGCCATTTTCAATTTTTATAGCACACAAATAAAATCGAAGCTAAGTTTTATTTTATTAGCTCTGGCTGATATTTTTAGACCATAAAACATGACTCTAAAGCTACCTACTTGCTTGTATATAATCTAATAATGTTATAATAAGTGAAAAATTATTGTGGCTGATATCCAAAATTTATACTATTGTTTACAGACTAGAAATTCCTTTTGTAATACATTATACGTTTATGTTTATCCATATTCGTTTTTAAAGCCTAAACGGATCTATTTCTGTATCGTATCGATGGTCATTTTTAATCCCATGAAAATCTTTTATAAAGATATCTACATGGATTACGTAAAATAAAAGTGTGGACGATGTCTAACGTCCCACCGAATTTAAATATAAAATACATCGTAAAATCGTTGAAAAATGTCCACTTATTACATTTGTTACTGAATCACATGTGACATAAACAAAAAAGACGTTTTTTGCCAAATTTTGATAGCAACAGCTTAGTATCCGTAACTGTAACTTATTAAGAAAAAGGCACTTTTTTGGATTTTAACTCCAAACGCAAGATATTCGTGTTTAATGTTTGACAAATGAAAATACAAACGGTTTGCTTGTAAACAATATTGTTGTTAACAAATTATGTAGCCAATGGGTGCGTTTTAAAACATTTAATATACAGAAAAATACTACGGAGTTCGCGCTTTTAAAATTTCCATGAATACAAAACTATTTTCTAACTGTGAGGCCAACATATCACGTCTAAGTTTAGCCCAGCAGATTTGGCACCGATATCAACAGTTGAAATTCAATTTATCTCTAAAATATCGTGAATAAAATGTTCAAAAACCGAAAATATACTTATAAAAGTACCATCATTTGGTACTAGGTAGACTGAAATTATTTTTTGACAGCAATCCATGAAACTGAACATTAGATAGACGCAATATTGTTTACTGTAATGAGTCATATTATTTTTGGAAGAAATCTTGTTTAAATGGTGTAATAAGAAATAATTATGTAAAAAAGTACCAGACGTTTTTCAAACATTTTGTATTAGTAGAAGGAAAGACAATTCAAATTAATGGTGTGATAGCATCATATGCCCCTTTTCGTTATGCTTAGTTTCTGACAACGCAAATAATTAAACAAATGTTCCCAATCAAATTAACAAACAAAGGCTTGAGAGTCGTCTGCCATCTTACCTCCAAGGTGCTTCCGCCATGTTGTTCTCTTCTGGTTTTTTTCCAAAACGAAAAGCTGTGCTTAAAAACTAAAACTTAACTAAACGTCGTTTCGTGTGGCGTCGTTAAAGGTGTTACAGCTTCGCGAGCGACGCTCCCGACGCGCTACGCGTGCTAAACTGGCGTCGTTTTGCCTTCTTAACATCGAACACACATTGTCTCGGTTTTCGTTAAGGCAACGTGCCAAAAAACGACCCACACTTCCTTTTTGTGCGACATTAGTTTATGCTTACACAAAAATAATTGACCGTATCATCATCATAAAACGCTGTTGCTGGCTAGCAACCATTCTGTAGATATTTATCGCAAAATGGACGGTAAAATGGAAGAGCAATGGCCCTACACTGTTCGTTATTTCTTTTTTCGGGAAATTAATCTGTTTATTACCCTATGCCACCTTTCACCGTCCTCTTTAAAATAGACATAAAAAATACTTTGCAACAACCATTATAGATTGTTTTGGGGAATTAAAAACCCCTTGAAAAGTGGTAAGAGAGCAGTGAAAACAATAGAAAATAAATGTTTTCACTCTCATTTCTATGCAAATTTTACTCTTCTTTTCTAATAAATGTTTATAGTTTAATTTCTACGATCTACAGAAGATCAGACCGTCAAATTATGCACAAACCCACTCATAAGTAGGCATATAATGGAAATACAAACCGTCACATATATTAAACAGTTTTAAAAGTCATTCATTACAGCTTTTATGTAGAAGAAACTTGCCATTGATGACTGAATATTCGTTATCATTTGCCTGAGTAAGAGTTTAGAAGGGTTAGTTATGATAGGCAAATAATTGTTTACTTTTTGAAATATTACTAACGAAAGTCCACACAAAAGTGGATATTGTCTAAATAAATAAAGTGGAAAGGATAAAAGTTAAAGGTACAGATGTGCCCTATTTTGGTACCATTTGGACGACATACAATTTAAATGTTCTTTATGAGAAATTTTTTAGCTTATAATTTATTTCTGATGCAATGAACTATTAGTAGAATAAATGAACAAATATGTAGCAATAAAAAATGTAGATATTCTTTACTAAAACTGCAAAAATAAATTATGTTAAGTTATATTCAGAAAGTAGTCGTTACTTATTGTATTGTGTGGCAAATTTCATAAAAGTAATATATTTATTAAAAATAATAGTGAATAATGCTATGTATTTGCTTGTTTTATTTTCAAAATTATGTTTGAAATGCATATTATGATTAAATAGTACAAATTGTACCTATTTTTGGTGAATCCATGGTATATTTTTCCCCTAATCTAGGCAACCAACTATATCGGTATGTAGCATATACTATATAAGCATAGGGTGCAAGCAAAAAATAAAGTAAAACAACCATAAAACGTTTATATTATCTTCAAAAAACGAAAATGTAAGGAATAAGAAAATACTTGCAAATTGATTTACAGCCTTTCTAAACATGAAAAAATTTCAAATCGATTTCAAAAAAGAAATGGAGCAAGATAAAACCCTTTGAAGGCAACCCAATTTCCATCAGCCAATGATAGTCTGACATGTAACCTTTATGCATTAAAATCATAGAAGTGTTGTCAAAATCAAAATTGAAACGATATTTTTGTTTTTAGGATTTGTCTGCCTTAATTGCATTTAACTTAATCGTTTAATTAAATTACAAAGAAGCAGTGCGCAATGAAATAACGTTTGTGAGTGAATTTTATGGGCATTTTGTGTTTATTAAAGTACGTGGTATGTGGCCAAGTTGGCATGTCAGATTCATGTCTAGAGTCAAATCAAGAGTTAAAGTATTTAAAAGTCCACAGCGATAACGATGCTGCAGAAGGCAAAGGAGCTGATACCGATTTCGAACAATCTATCAGTTTGGAAAGGAACCTCCAAAAGAAAGATAAACAAACAACGTTACACAAGTGGGCCTTCAAGATGCTACACATTATCAAAGAACTGGCTATAATGCTTCTAGCAGTTGTAACATATGCTGCTCTTACCAACAAGTAAGTACTGCTTTTAATTCAACAATTATTCAGTTTTAATTTCATAACAAAGAGGTTTAATTTTTTATGAACACTCCTCGTTGCTTTTCTTAGTTCACCAAAGATTTCAAAGAGTCCGTCTGCATTTCCTTTCTTTCCTAAAGATTCTCTTGTGATTGACTACTACAAAGGAGAACTTGTCTCTGCAAATGAGAGGGCACACAATGCTGACTTTTCATTTGTAATGTTCTACGCTCCATGGAGTGCCGAATGCAGAAAAACACGAGATGAGTTTGAAATTGTGGCCAAACATTTTCATAAACATGTAGAAATGTCTGCAGTCAACTGCTGGCAACCAGGCAGTGAATGTAGAAGACAGTATAGTAAGGTTTATAACTGGCCAGTTCTCATTGCTTATCCAACGGTGGGAAAAGGTATTCAATATAAAGGTCCAAAAGCAGCACCTTACATGATGAGATTTTTAATGCAACTCATGCAGCCTTTTGTAAGGGTAACTACAACTGAAGAAATTGTGCAGTTAATGGCTACACATGATGTATGATGATGTCAGTAGAGTTGTAAAACAAATTAAATTAAAACGACTATTTTAGGCTCTTGTTTTGGGATCAGTCAATGCTCTGCCAGGAAGTCGGGATTTTGCTGTTTTATATAGTACTATCCTCAGATATGCTTCACAAGACGTAACACAAAATATGGCCTTTGCCGTTCTAACCATTCCTGCAAAAGACCAAAATGGGAATCCCTACAAGCCAAGCATATTTTTATACATGTGGAACGAAACTTTAGTAAGTTTACTGGCTTCATAACTAAAATAACTCTTTTTAAAGTGGAATTTTTTATTCAGAAATATCCTGACGAAAGTCCTTGGACTCCTGACAGCATTCTCAACTGGATAACAGACACTTTCCAAGTAAATACTATGTGGTTGGTGCCACCAAAGATTAAAACCAACACTTTGTCATTCACTCTCGAGAATAGTCCATCTCTTTTTTTGTTTACTCCGAGAAATCCAATGAAGCAATCAAATGACTTCTACAATTTGGTAAATAATTAAATTTTCATTCTAAAAAGATTGTTACAAAAAATTAACTTTATTTTAGTTGCATGAAGTGGCTCTTGAGTACAACAACTGTAAGAGTCCTCGAATGGAAATGTTAAAAGAAAATGTTGCCATTGGACGATTAGGTGATTTTTTTTACATTTAATTTTGACAAGAAATTTTCTTTTTTCATTCCTTGCAGAAGACTACTTTTCACATAAACTTCTTCTACAGAAATGTGCAATTAAAAAGGAGGCCCAAATAACTTCTGCAATCACATTTTTACAGCAACCCAAATGGTTAAACAGCACCGGTATGAAAGTCTACATGAGAGCTGAAGAATCATGCTCTAAATGTGACAATATAAAAAGCGATTTATCTCTACTCTGCCAGATAATTAATGAAAATTCTTGCTCCAGAAAAACCAACGAATGTATAGAACAAGGAAATTTGGGAGAAGAATTTGTAAAAAAATATGAGACTTCTATGTTGAAAGGTAAAAAAACATTTTCTGTTGTTTAATAAACTTTTAAGCTTTTCAATATGTAAATTCTTAATTAACTATTTAAGATTCTCTAGCAAAAAGGTATAAAAGTCTGTGTAGGTAAAAATTGTTTTTTTTTATGCTGTTAACTTAATTATATCTATAATCTTGCTATAGTAAAATTATAATAATATCTTTGCCTTAAATATAATAATTTCACAAGTTTTTGAAAATTTCCCTCTAAGGTATTTATATTTCGCTTATTGTGTAGATGAAAATGACCCGCTGGCTCCTCGAAATCTGCGAAAGTTTTGGAACAGGGAAATGTGTAGATTACTTCGAATAACAGAAAAACTTATTCCAAGCATCTACACCGATTATGTTAAGAATAATTTAACAGTAAACAATAAAATAGATGGATTATTGTGTAAAACTAACAGAACTTTAACCTTTTACGCTTTAGACAGTTTGGAAACGTACTATTTTGCTGAACGATTAGGCGTTAATGTATTTGATAGAAAAGACAAGACTGCCGCTGTGATTATAGACGATAACGTATGTATATTAATAGGTAGTTATATTTCTAAAAGTAAAATCTTTTTTTTTTTATAGTCTGAAACACATTATGTACTTAATGAACCAGTCAATGATGTGACATTAAGAGATTTTATTGTAAGTTATGCTGATAATACTTTACCTCGCTCAAGGAAGTCTATTACTTCTATTAAATCTAACAACACACACTCTTATCAAATAAAAACTTTTTGTGATAAGCAGAAAGAGGTCTGTGTTAAAGAATTAGATAGTGACTCGTTTTTACCTACAATTGCCCAACGAGATAAGGTAACATTTCCTTTTTAATTAATTATTTATTTTTATTGAAACCCCACAAATTTAAATAATTTACTTATTGTATTTTAATGATTTAACTTATTTATACTTCTTTTTACTTTTCTTTAGGCTGTAGTAGTAATGTACCATTCCAAGCAGTGTTCTTTTTGTAATGGAATTTCATATATTTTTCTTATTGTGGCAAAAATTCTTGCCCCCCTTGAAATCGTCGAGTTTGCTAGAATCGATGGCGACATTAACATTCTACCATGGGAGTATACCATGAATTCATTTCCTACCATAATTTATTTTCCTGACAAAATGTAACGTCAATTTGAAGTGTTTTATTAATGTCTAATGAATAATTATGTATTTAATTATTTTAGGAAATCTGAAAGCAGGACGTTTCCTTGCAACGTCCTCCCTGTAACTGTTCCAAACTTGTTGGCATTTCTCTTGAGCAATTTCAACCCTCGATTAAAGCTTCACACCATGTGGATACTTTGCAATCAAACTCGGGTACTTCTTCCTTTATTATATTCGTTATAATTTATTTTTAAATTCAAACCTTAAATTTTCAGTTTGAAGATGAAAGAAATTCGTGCATATCGTCTGTTAGATCAGAAAATTTATCTTTAATAAATCACACATTAAAAGAGTGGAGAAAGGCAGATGCTAGACAAAGAGCAGAGCTAATGTACAGGCTACAACAAATGCGAAATCTCCACTTACTATTGGCCCATTCCCCTCAAAGAACAGAAGATATCAAAGTCTATTTGAAACGTCTCAATTCTCAAGCATTCAATTCTAAATACAATTCACTTTTCGACCAAAAGGAAAAGATAACAAAAGGTAACGCTAATAATGTCTGTAACATAGAATAATCTTTTTTTTTGTGATTGCTCTGTGTTTTCTTCCTGTCTATCTATTCCCTTGTTGATTAATTTATGTGTATTTATATTTTTTTCTTCTTTTTTTTTGTTGGTTGATTTATAAACAGTTATATGACTGAGAAAAAATAAAATATTTTTATAATTATAAATGACATTTTTAATGATGCATAACAAGAAAAACTAAAATATCTTATTTTTTAATGGACTTTATTTAAGTTATTTTCATATTATAACAAAACAGTGATAACAAACAAAAGTAGAAAATTTTATAGTTTTTATATAAACGTCCTATGGTCTTTGCAATATTTATTTTATTATCTAGTTACAGCATCACAGCACGTTGATAGTTTAATTTTATTATGTTGAAATGTTCCCTTTTGTTGTTTAGTATGTATGTGTTACATATTATTTTGCATGCATACAATTCGCGTAACAGAAACAATATGGACACAAACAAGCTCTCGACACACACAGCAAATTGTCGTAGAATGAGCAGGAGGCAATAATTCTGTTCCCTGCATATGGATATTGCTTGACCTCTTCTTCTGGTAAATAACACCAGTCAGCTCCATAAGCAATACTTTTATGTTCATAATAGCTTTCGACTATTTTAAAATCGTCGTCTATCGTGTTAACTACGTGTACGCCCCCCACCATACAGGCTACGAGCAACAGGTCTTTCGTAAAAGGGTCCCATTTCACACGCCATAGGGTCCCCGGCATCTCTACCTCCCCTTTGGGGCATTTCATATTTCGAATGTCCCATAATCGCAGATAGGAATCGTAACTGCAAATTTAATGAAAGTTTTAGAAGTAAACGGCTGCTTTTTTTGTGTGTTAGTTTTGGCTTTCCTTCCGTGGAAATACTTTTTTAAATTTCTTTTTAGATTACTGATAACGGACTGAAAGCACAAAAGTCAGTCTACAAATCTACATGGTGTCTTTGATAATAATCTTCGTCTTGAGTGGTTAATACTCATACATTTTGCTGTTCCCATAAATATGAAACACTCTGTGTATATTTTTTGTCACTATACATGTTATAAAAGAGTATATTAAGAATATTGCTAAGTGTTTTATTCTAATTGTTGTATAAATAATTAATATTGATACCTTCCTGTTGCAATTGTATATTCTTTTTCTGAATTAGAATGGATACAAGTCACACCTGCCCCATGTCGCTTATTTTTCGCCACTGGCGTCATCCCCATTCGTTCATCAAACATAAGCAGCACAGAATCATCTCCGCCTTAAATAAACATTAAATAGAATACACATTTGCCTGGCAATTGTCCATAAATACCTGTGAAAAACACATTACATTCCCAGTAATAAAATGCAGCTATCCATGCTTCAAACTCATGTGCTTTCCAAGTTCTTGCTAATGTCAGTTGGTTTTTAAGTAATTTGAACCTGTGTACTTGTCCTAATGAATCACTACAAATAATATAAGGTTCATTTGAGTTTATTTTCCCAGTTGACCAGTCTAATGACAAAAGCAGACAATCTTGCCCCTTCTCAGGAGAAATTTCATGAGAAAAGACTAATTCTAACTGTAAGTCTTCTTCTTGTAGCCTATAAATATTTAAAGCTCCACCAGCAGTGGTAACCCCAAGTAGTATAGTATCTCTAATCTTTATGTGACACCACTTTTGATCAAGAATACCAGCTGTATCAATTTTTTGTAGAATGCTCAACCCTTTCTCAGGGCTCATAGAGTATAAGATTATCCTTCCAAGTCTTTCATGTGATTCTGAAATTTTTCTGATTAATGCTAAGTAATTTAGCATATTTATTTATCCTTACCTTTACTATTTTCGCCTTTGTATAAATAATAATTAGCACAGACAAATAAATGCTGGTAGGGTGCATGGGGACACCATTCAACTGAATCTGCATTGTAAGTCGTATCTTCGGTAAACAGGGTGTAAATCTTGGTTGCAGGAGGGAGTGTTGTAATTAAATTTGACTCCTTTTTGCTGAAAGGGGTAAGTTTTATGTTTATTTTATCTTCATAGTTTACTGGACATGGTAAAGCAATTTCTTCGTCAGACGGTCTGGAAACTATTGAAACTACTTCTTCTATTTCTTCACTTTGCAAACGTTTACACATTTTTATGATACTTTATAAAAGTTTTTAATAATTTAGTTTTACATTTTACTAAAACTTTAGGTTAGTACTCAAAANAACCTATCTCGCCTATTTTTTATTGACTTCCATAGAGTCCTCTGTTCTCCTATTCTTTCCAATACCTCTTCATTTCTAACATTTTCTACCCACGATATTCTCATCACCCGCCTATAACACCATATTTCGAACGCTTCTAACAAATACGTGAAAAAACAATTCCGGGGCTGTCATGGTGAACACCCTGCATTCTACCATGGATACCATACACGTAATAACGTGTCTGTACCAGTTTTTCTATCTCATAGAAATATGTACTTCAATCATCAACAAGACTGATTGAACACCTAAATCCACTTCTTCCTATCTTGAGCCAATCTTTACGAATGATAATCTAGTCTAGGTCTACTTCTACCCCTTTTAATTCCTGTTACTACTTCCAATGTGTCTCTAACTAGTCATTCATTCTAAGGAAAGTACCCTCTGTTCTCTCACTTTGTCTAGTACATTATGAAACACATTTCAAACGCTTCTAACTTTTTCTTTTCCTTAGCCTCTATCCCCGTCCATATTTCAATCCCTCTGCACTTCATATTATCTATTTTAAAGATAACCAAAGTCTCAAAAAATGGTAACAAATCATCAGAAAATGCTTGATATGTTACTAAAGCCTAATATCCAAATTTAAGTGGCTTAAAATATTAGTTCTAAGTTCGTCTTTTATACCAAAATAATTTTCTTTTTTTACTAGACACGTATTCATATAAAACAGTACCTATTTTTAGCCATTTTCAATTTTTATAGCACACAAATAAAATCGAAGCTAAGTTTTATTTTATTAGCTCTGGCTGATATTTTTAGACCATAAAACATTACTCTAAAGCTACCTACTTGCTTGTATATAATCTAATAATGTTATAATAAGTGAAAAATTATTGTGGCTGATATCCAAAATTTATACTATTGTTTACAGACTAGAAATTCCTTTTGTAATACATTATACGTTTATGTTTATCCATATTCGTTTTTAAAGCCTAAACGGATCTATTTCTGTATCGTATCGATGGTCATTTTTAATCCCATGAAAATCTTTTATAAAGATATCTACATGGATTACGTAAAATAAAAGTGTGGACGATGTCTAACGTCCCACCGAATTTAAATATAAAATACATCGTAAAATCGTTGAAAAATGTCCACTTATTACATTTGTTACTGAATCACATGTGACATAAACAAAAAAGACGTTTTTTGCCAAATTTTGATAGCAACAGCTTAGTATCCGTAACTGTAACTTATTAAGAAAAAGGCACTTTTTTGGATTTTAACTCCAAACGCAAGATATTCGTGTTTAATGTTTGACAAATGAAAATACAAACGGTTTGCTTGTAAACAATATTGTTGTTAACAAATTATGTAGCCAATGGGTGCGTTTTAAAACATTTAATATACAGAAAAATACTACGGAGTTCGCGCTTTTAAAATTTCCATGAATACAAAACTATTTTCTAACTGTGAGGCCAACATATCACGTCTAAGTTTAGCCCAGCAGATTTGGCACCGATATCAACAGTTGAAATTCAATTTATCTCTAAAATATCGTGAATAAAATGTTCAAAAACCGAAAATATACTTATAAAAGTACCATCATTTGGTACTAGGTAGACTGAAATTATTTTTTGACAGCAATCCATGAAACTGAACATTAGATAGACGCAATATTGTTTACTGTAATGAGTCATATTATTTTTGGAAGAAATCTTGTTTAAATGGTGTAATAAGAAATAATTATGTAAAAAAGTACCAGACGTTTTTCAAACATTTTGTATTAGTAGAAGGAAAGACAATTCAAATTAATGGTGTGATAGCATCATATGCCCCTTTTCGTTATGCTTAGTTTCTGACAACGCAAATAATTAAACAAATGTTCCCAATCAAATTAACAAACAAAGGCTTGAGAGTCGTCTGCCATCTTACCTCCAAGGTGCTTCCGCCATGTTGTTCTCTTCTGGTTTTTTTCCAAAACGAAAAGCTGTGCTTAAAAACTAAAACTTAACTAAACGTCGTTTCGTGTGGCGTCGTTAAAGGTGTTACAGCTTCGCGAGCGACGCTCCCGACGCGCTACGCGTGCTAAACTGGCGTCGTTTTGCCTTCTTAACATCGAACACACATTGTCTCGGTTTTCGTTAAGGCAACGTGCCAAAAAACGACCCACACTTCCTTTTTGTGCGACATTAGTTTATGCTTACACAAAAATAATTGACCGTATCATCATCATAAAACGCTGTTGCTGGCTAGCAACCATTCTGTAGATATTTATCGCAAAATGGACGGTAAAATGGAAGAGCAATGGCCCTACACTGTTCGTTATTTCTTTTTTCGGGAAATTAATCTGTTTATTACCCTATGCCACCTTTCACCGTCCTCTTTAAAATAGACATAAAAAATACTTTGCAACAACCATTATAGATTGTTTTGGGGAATTAAAAACCCCTTGAAAAGTGGTAAGAGAGCAGTGAAAACAATAGAAAATAAATGTTTTCACTCTCATTTCTATGCAAATTTTACTCTTCTTTTCTAATAAATGTTTATAGTTTAATTTCTACGATCTACAGAAGATCAGACCGTCAAATTATGCACAAACCCACTCATAAGTAGGCATATAATGGAAATACAAACCGTCACATATATTAAACAGTTTTAAAAGTCATTCATTACAGCTTTTATGTAGAAGAAACTTGCCATTGATGACTGAATATTCGTTATCATTTGCCTGAGTAAGAGTTTAGAAGGGTTAGTTATGATAGGCAAATAATTGTTTACTTTTTGAAATATTACTAACGAAAGTCCACACAAAAGTGGATATTGTCTAAATAAATAAAGTGGAAAGGATAAAAGTTAAAGGTACAGATGTGCCCTATTTTGGTACCATTTGGACGACATACAATTTAAATGTTCTTTATGAGAAATTTTTTAGCTTATAATTTATTTCTGATGCAATGAACTATTAGTAGAATAAATGAACAAATATGTAGCAATAAAAAATGTAGATATTCTTTACTAAAACTGCAAAAATAAATTATGTTAAGTTATATTCAGAAAGTAGTCGTTACTTATTGTATTGTGTGGCAAATTTCATAAAAGTAATATATTTATTAAAAATAATAGTGAATAATGCTATGTATTTGCTTGTTTTATTTTCAAAATTATGTTTGAAATGCATATTATGATTAAATAGTACAAATTGTACCTATTTTTGGTGAATCCATGGTATATTTTTCCCCTAATCTAGGCAACCAACTATATCGGTATGTAGCATATACTATATAAGCATAGGGTGCAAGCAAAAAATAAAGTAAAACAACCATAAAACGTTTATATTATCTTCAAAAAACGAAAATGTAAGGAATAAGAAAATACTTGCAAATTGATTTACAGCCTTTCTAAACATGAAAAAATTTCAAATCGATTTCAAAAAAGAAATGGAGCAAGATAAAACCCTTTGAAGGCAACCCAATTTCCATCAGCCAATGATAGTCTGACATGTAACCTTTATGCATTAAAATCATAGAAGTGTTGTCAAAATCAAAATTGAAACGATATTTTTGTTTTTAGGATTTGTCTGCCTTAATTGCATTTAACTTAATCGTTTAATTAAATTACAAAGAAGCAGTGCGCAATGAAATAACGTTTGTGAGTGAATTTTATGGGCATTTTGTGTTTATTAAAGTACGTGGTATGTGGCCAAGTTGGCATGTCAGATTCATGTCTAGAGTCAAATCAAGAGTTAAAGTATTTAAAAGTCCACAGCGATAACGATGCTGCAGAAGGCAAAGGAGCTGATACCGATTTCGAACAATCTATCAGTTTGGAAAGGAACCTCCAAAAGAAAGATAAACAAACAACGTTACACAAGTGGGCCTTCAAGATGCTACACATTATCAAAGAACTGGCTATAATGCTTCTAGCAGTTGTAACATATGCTGCTCTTACCAACAAGTAAGTACTGCTTTTAATTCAACAATTATTCAGTTTTAATTTCATAACAAAGAGGTTTAATTTTTTATGAACACTCCTCGTTGCTTTTCTTAGTTCACCAAAGATTTCAAAGAGTCCGTCTGCATTTCCTTTCTTTCCTAAAGATTCTCTTGTGATTGACTACTACAAAGGAGAACTTGTCTCTGCAAATGAGAGGGCACACAATGCTGACTTTTCATTTGTAATGTTCTACGCTCCATGGAGTGCCGAATGCAGAAAAACACGAGATGAGTTTGAAATTGTGGCCAAACATTTTCATAAACATGTAGAAATGTCTGCAGTCAACTGCTGGCAACCAGGCAGTGAATGTAGAAGACAGTATAGTAAGGTTTATAACTGGCCAGTTCTCATTGCTTATCCAACGGTGGGAAAAGGTATTCAATATAAAGGTCCAAAAGCAGCACCTTACATGATGAGATTTTTAATGCAACTCATGCAGCCTTTTGTAAGGGTAACTACAACTGAAGAAATTGTGCAGTTAATGGCTACACATGATGTATGATGATGTCAGTAGAGTTGTAAAACAAATTAAATTAAAACGACTATTTTAGGCTCTTGTTTTGGGATCAGTCAATGCTCTGCCAGGAAGTCGGGATTTTGCTGTTTTATATAGTACTATCCTCAGATATGCTTCACAAGACGTAACACAAAATATGGCCTTTGCCGTTCTAACCATTCCTGCAAAAGACCAAAATGGGAATCCCTACAAGCCAAGCATATTTTTATACATGTGGAACGAAACTTTAGTAAGTTTACTGGCTTCATAA